AACCTTTCTACCTGGACCTTTCCCTCCAAACACCGGGTTAGCACATTCTCAATTCGCAATTACCCAGTTCCTGCAGAGGGCCAGCTGGGCTGGGCCTGTCACAGTCCACATATTCAAAAAGTAAAATTAAGTCAGAACTGGAAGAGAACAGGAAAATGTGGGACTGAAAGTGAACTGAAACAAATGAACCAAATTCTATTTCCAACGGATGCTGTAACCGCAATGAAGAGAGACGGACAGACGGAGACATGGACAGAGAGAGTGACGCTTCAGTGAGTCACGGACACGGTGTTTGGTTACAAGCCCTCAGCCATGAGCAAGCTTGGGTGGTGGCAGATGAATGACAAACGAATCTGGAACTCGTCTTAGTGTGCCCGTTAATGGCAGTGGTATGGGCAGAGTGATTCTGAAATGACTGGAGATGTTCTGCAGGCCTGAGGTGCTGGAGACGCTGGGAGCAGGGCTCCCACTGGGGAAGGAGCACACACGTACAGGAACAGGACAAGGCAAGAAGAAGCCGTGGGGCGTGGGTTGGAATTAGAGGTATGTGTGAGAACTCATGATTTCTGAAGTATGCACATGTGCTATATGTATACCTGCATGCATGTGGTATTTGTGTGTATGTATATTTACATACATGTATGTGTGCTTCCTAGCTCTGTCCCCTGAAAGGGGTGAGAAGCAAAGACACCGCAGTAGTGATGGGCACACCTATGCCCAGATCTTGTTCTCTAAAAGGAGGCAGGAGGCTGGGCACAGTGGCTCACGCCTGTAATCCCAACACTGTGGGAGGCCGAGGCGGGCAGATCGCCTGAGCTCAGGAGTTTGAGACCAGCCTGGCCAACATGGCAAAACCCTATCTCTACTAAAAATACAAAAAATTAGCCAGGCATGGTGGTGCATGCCTGTAATCTCAGCTGCTCGGGAGGCTGAGGCAGGAGAACTGCTTGAACCCGGAAGACGGAGGTCGCAGTGAGCTGAGATGGTGCCACTGCACTCCAGCTTGGATGGCAGAGTGAGACTTTGTCTCAAAAAAACAAACCAAAAAATAAAAATAAAATAAAAGGAAGCAGGGCCCTCACAGAATGGGCTGAGCCTGGATTTGGGGCAGGCCAGGTACAAGATGATCCTGGAATATCTTGTGAGGCCAGAAAAGAAGCTGGTGCTCCAAAAACAAGGGGCCTGTCTCAGGACATGGAGCTGGTTGAAGGGCTCCATTGGTCACAACTGGGTCAATCCGAGCTCCAAAGTCATTAAGGACAGTGATAGGCCAGACCCCTGCAGAGTGGGAACCCAGAGACTGCACCAAGAACGGATTCAGCCATGGGAGAAGGGAAGGCAGAGGCCGCAGGCAGCAGCAAAGTGCGGCACTGGCGTGGTCATCATGCACAGCCACCAGGAGGCCAGCTCCAGCCAGAGTCGCCACAGCTACGTCCCAGGAAATGTCCACCAGGAGCAGGCGCTTGCTGGTCCGCGCCCCACACCCAAGATGCTTATCAGTTGCAGGGAAGGAAAGAAACAGTGATTCTAAGGTAGAGAATCTGGATGATTCTACAGTACAGAAACCTTGACAAGTGGTGGACGCTGACCTCCCCTGCGAGGGGCGAGGGGACCTCGAGAGCCCTTGCGGGAGGCCCTGAGTCGGGCCAGCATCCCCTGTGCGGGGTCCCTGCCAAAGAAGCTTAACTTCTGTCTGCTGGTGGGGAAACATAAGACCAACCTCAAATGAGACACAGTGTATCATCAAAGGGAAGAGGTGGGGTCTTCAAAGACATCCACCTGGTAATAGACAAAGAGAGGCTGTGGGGTGTTCCCGACTGAAGGGGGCGACAGAGAGCAACAGCGGAACGCAGGGCCCCACCCTGGGCTGGGGGGAAGGCTGTGACGGACTCACTGGGACAAAGGACAAAACCGAACACAAACAGACTGGATAAAAACGTACGAAAAAGACTGCCTTGGGCCGGGCGCGGTGGCTCACGCCTGTAATCCCAGCACTTTGGGAGGCCGAGGCGGGTGGATCACGAGGTCAGGAGATCGAGACCATCCTGGTCAACATGGTGAAACCCCGTGTCTACTAAAAATACAAAAATTAGCTGGGCATGGTGGCGCGTGCCT